GTCGTTTTGTCAAGAAGCAAACGAAAAAAAGACAATAGGTATACATAAAACTAGAACCTATAAACGGAAGGAACATTGGTAAAAAAAGATATACATGAATATTTACCGTACAAATTTTCATAAGAAACATTTTTTTCCTGTTTTGGTAACATATTCATTCAACTGTCAGTAAGAAAAAACTGCCAATACTTTTCACAATAACATTCTGAAATACTGTTAACCAATAACCATTCAACAATGGTATTGCACTAATACTGTAATTCATTTTTTTTACTTGCGATAACTTTTTTTTCGCGTAATAACGTTATACAGTTTGCGAAAATTTTATTCTCGTGTATAATAGCATTCCTGAAGATTATATAGAGCAAAAACCACAATTCGTGAAAATTTTGTCTCGCTCATAAAGAGTTGATGACAATGTCGCTAAAATAAGGTGTCGCAAATATTTAGTGATCTACTGTTAGTTTTGCAATCTGACTTGCATCATAGTAAACAAGTTCCAAACAATATGCCTGAGAAGCTTTATCAAAGCGGTTTTCTTTAAAACACAACATTGCTGTTTATATTAGAATTGTGAAAGCATTTCATTGAGTAAAATAAAGTAATTTTAGAACCTTTCAAATAACTCCTTTGCACTCTTAACCTTCTTTTCTGCGTTCAGTTGTTTCTTCTCTCGTTCAGTATTATATTTCTGGGCTTCAGCGGCTTTAATTTCCCTGTCTGAAAAATCAAGTGAAATTATTTAAAAACAATTCATTATCTTCATATCTTACCCAGTCCAAAATTTATTTTAATAAAAACTGTAGCAAAGTTCACGCCCATCTTCGAAAGAAAAACATATCATTACATGTCATTTTTATATACATACATAAGAATCTAAGTTCCAACTCAAAATAATATTTTAAATTCAAAGAGGTATATGGCTATTAAATTATGACATTTTAAACTGGGGAGGATCTGATTTACTCTCGTCGGAAGCAAGTGTTGAAACATAACCAGTTCATTTATTGCCGTTATATTTAAAGACACGCAGAGAGACAAAACATGCCAAGCGATCTTACGAAATTCAGAGAAAAGGTCAGGCGATACATGTTTCTCTCTTAGGCTAGAAATCAAGAGAGTATTTGTACCCGTTATAATTATAGTTTGGCCAAATTATACCCCAAAATGTCACAACTATTAATTCTAATGCAAACTGTTGTATATTGCTAAACAATGTCCCTGAAGCTGACCCCAATTAGACATCAAATACTTGTGTATTGTTCGTTTTTATTAAATGATGGTTATATAAATCTTAGTCTTGGTTAAACGTTAAGGTAGACGTTGCTTATTATAATTAAGTACAAATGTAGACGGGTTGCCCGCGTGGCGCATTGGTAAGAGCGTCTACTCTAAATAGAAAAAATAATTAGTTGATTCATACGTCGCGAATTTCAATCCGTAAAAACTGCAACCTAGTCTTTAGATATTACTAGTTTTGCACTGTAGTATTGTAAGTCTCCGATTAAAGTGTCTGTATTACATTTTTTAAAGGTTTTCATTTTTTGATTAAGCTCTTCTAAGAGGGTCCTGGGCCTGCATACGATTTCAGGAATCTAACAATACTTAACGCTTTTACTGATTAAGCGATCCAGATAGTTAATAATGACATACTCGAAGCCACCTATACAAATTCCAGGATTATCCCAGTAGGCCTGGCGCCTAAAAAGGATGGTTTATTTAGGCTCATCCGCCATTTCTTTAATTTCGTAGGAGAAGGAATTGATGACTTTATTGATCACAATTTTTTCTTCAGTTAAGTAAACCTCCTTAACTTTAACCACTGTTGTAAGCTTTTCTTTTTGTACGAAAGGTACAGTTTTTACTGACCAAACGTTTCCTTGAGTGATTCAAATTCATTGATTGTGAGTCTTCAAGTCAACGTATTGTGTTTACAAAATCAAACTTTATTGTATTTACTTTTTCTTACATATTCTGAATATCCCGATATAGTTATATTAAATCTTTTCTTTCTACTCAAGCTTGCATTTTCCCCCAAAATTTTTGCAGAACCCTCTAGACCGCAGCCTTCTCTTCCACCCTTACTGACATAAGTGATGGACGTGTGGCCATTGGACTTACTAGTAAGCATATTTATGTTTCTTAAATTGTAATTAACTAAATATTTTTTTAAATACATTTGAACTAGTCACAAAAGGTGAGCATATTTTCCTAGGTTTCAATTGCATTCCTAGGGATGTCATTAAAAGACAGTGTCTCGGCTCTTCAATTTAAGCTTCCGTGACCCCTTCAGCCAAATAAATTGTGTCAGTTTAAAATTTTATATCTCTCACATGTGACATTCTGTATTCCTCTTTTTAGTCTTTTTTCATCTTTTGATAAAGGGAATTTCTCACTTGCGACATTGACAGCCATTGAACAAAGTGAATTACCAGTATCTATAACTGTGGTCAAGTTGGGACGTCAGTGCCTTTAGCAAACTTGCTTACTTTTTTCCCACTCTTTTCATGATTTTTTTAGGTAATAACTACAGCCTTAAATTCATCACTAACATCACCTCAATTGTGTCTACATTTAGGTCATTGCAAACTGTTTCCGGTTTGTGCTAAAACTCTTGCCTATCCCTAATCAGTAGTTGAATTTGATGATTCAGCCTTGTCCATAGCGAGAACTCTGATCCAACAATTTGCTTGTATATAATTCATACTAGTTTGTATTTTTTGCTTATGCGTTTTAATATTCTTATACACTTATTTCAATTTTCTTGTTCTACGGGACTTTGTTTATTAAGATTTCTTAGAACGTTTTCATAGATGACTGCATTATTACTGAAGAACCCCTGAAGGCTTCCTGAACCTACTTTGTCATTTACTGGACATTTTTAAAGTATACTCGTAATTAAAGACTAGTTACAAACGGGTGACCATCTTTTCTAGTTTTCAATTGCATTCCTAGGGATGGATGCCATTACAAGTATAAGACAGTATTTTAATGTATCGGCTCCCTCATTAAAACTACAGTGGTTTATTCAACTAAATGAATTATAAAACAGTTTAGTTTTTGTCATGGAATATAAATTAGGTTTTTTATAAAGGCTATCTAAAGTTATTTAAATTTTAAAATTTACTACAACTTTTTCCCATTTTGAACTCTAAATTACGTTTTTGACATTTTCAATTTGTAATTTTTAATTGAGTTTTTGACATTTCCTGTTCGCCAGCGTTTGCATTTTATTTATAATGAATATATAAAATAGTATACCAAATACCAAATGCCTACCATATCTTCCTTACTTCTCAGCGTACTGTAATGTACATATAAAGATTTAAAAATTCAAACATACCTTGTGGAAAATCAATACATGTATTCTTTTCTTCCGATTTTCCTTCCTTTTTCTTCGTCCTTCAAGAATATATTTTGACGATTTATTTATGCCTATGTAATTATATGTATGAACTCATAATCTTGGCCCTATGAAGCTATTTCAGGAGGTTAAGGCACAACTTAATATTTATACATTCGAGGCGGGCATACTACCAAAAAAATTCTTGAGAAGAAAACAATAGTAAAAGAGAAAAGGTCGTCAGACGAAAGCAAAGGCATGAAATAGATATATTTTTATATTATACATATGTAGTGCAAAGATTATTGAAGGGTGCAAAGTTCTTTGGGAGAAGGGCGTGTCCCGACACAATGTTCCTAAAGACATGCAGATTGATAAATCTAAGTAAAACTTACTTTTTGATGTTTCTTTTGCGAAAATAACATAAACCCAGTCCAATACTAAGAAGTAGAAAAAATCCAAGAAAACTTCCTAGTATGATGATAATTAATCTGCAAAATAAGAAAAAAAAAATTGTTACATATTATATGTGACAAAACTGACCACCATAATTTACTTACCTTACTTATGCACACACAGTCTAGATCTCAATATAAGCACGTTTCATGCAGCATTATCGTGTTACATGTACCGCGAAAAGTTCCGAAAGCAAACGTACAAAATTAACATTGAATTCTTCCATGGAGAACATAATACAAGTACATGTTATTTGGGCGCCTGTTGGATTTACTTTTCAATTATTCCAACTTATTTTTTCTTGCTTAAATCAAAACACAGATTATAGTTTTAAAAAATTTTTGTGGCGAAAATTTCAAATCATATGCAAAACAAAAGAAAAATTCGGTCAAAACATTCATAACTACTGCTCCCCAATAAAATTTTATTCCCCCAATTTATCATAAAAAAATATGATATAATATATGATATACATTATTAGATTATTTAACCCCCATTTACGTATAATATCCTAATTCACATCATCAATTAAAAAAAATTCTCCTGAGATATACATGTTTTTTGGTAATGATCACAGGAGTTATTGAAATTTACAGGTCAAAGAATGAAGTTTCATTACTATAGATCAGTTCAGAATATAAAAAATATTCTGGAAGACAAACCTCTGTTGAGAAGAAGAAAAGATTTTTAAAGAATAATGTTAACATATATACAATGTAAGATGCAGTTTCATTCAACAATCCCCAAAGCCCCCCCCCCCCCCCCTAGACAAACCTTTGTTGATCATAGCTTAAATCTTAATTTACAACATTAAATTAATTTATGTAAAACATCTGACATGGCAAGAAGAACAACTCTGATTTTTCTCTTCGCCAGTTTACATTCCTGTAATCTGATAATCTCTTATCAGCAACTGACCAGATTCAGCTAATTTTGCGCACGCCTTCATTCTTCCAGCGTGCATTGCCTTGTCAACATACATTCGCCAGTCATCTTGATTTGTTTTTGTTGTTAGCCATTCAATCACTTGTTATCACAGGTACATAAGTCTACTCTGTTAGAAGAATTTCTAATTCAATTTATTGTTGGATTATCCTTTATATAGGTACATTGGTGAGATTCTTTGGACGCTAAAAATTGTGTGTATGCTTTACAATATTTGACGGATTTTGTGTTTGACTGGCGAAATACGTTAATACAATGCTATGGACACCCTGTTTCATGCACTCATCATCGTAATTACAACTTAGCAGGAGTAAATGAAATGTTGTGAACGTTTATGTATGTTGACTTGAATTTCTTTGTTCTGCTTCGCGCCAGTTTGCCGGTCTTGGAACCATGAATGACCAAGTGAACTTTGCGGCTATTCATATATTGCCCAGCATCCAAGATACATTGCGGTAAACAGTCAAAATGGCGTCTGTTTTGATTGCTGGAAGTTCACATGTTAAAAGATTTGAGCACTATGTAAATCAAAATCGAGAATTTCAGAACTTGAATTTAAATCCAAACATTTTTGTAACATTTTATGGTATAAGTGGAGGAAAGCTGACAAATAATTCCCACTTGCAGGCGTTAGAACAAAAACTTAGGCACGTTTCTCCGGACTTTCTCATCTTACATTTAGGTGGTAACGATCTGGACACAACTTCGGCTGATGAAACATACGCTTATGAGTTATGTTTACGACTTTGTTGTATTGCGGAAACATTTGCCCGTTGTTTCAACATTAAAAAGACAATTGTTTGCCAACTGATGCCGAGATATCGGACACGGATATTAGATATAAATATTTATAATAAACTAGTAATAAAATTCAATAGAATACTGAAGAGGGAGCTGTTAGGAAAAAACTATTTGCAGTACTGGAATATAAAAGGTGTCAAAAACAGCCAGCGTCCAGTATTTTGCGATGGAGTCCATCTGAACAACGAATGGGGCATGCGAATTTACTACAGAAACTTGCGTGGGGCAATTATCCAATGTTTAAAATAAGATTGGTAGCAGGGACATCTACAATGTATGGTCCGTCAACATAAGCAGCACATTTTCATTCAGGTTCATTTGCAACTAAAAAAGATAAGTCTATTCAACATCTGCACGATCTCTAGCAAATTATGAATTATAATATGTAATGAGTAGTCTTATTTATACGGTTATTGGACAATGGTTCACAATTATGAATGGTAATCAGTATGTCTGCGTTTAATTACTGCATATTGTATTTGAGATCTCAATTATATGAAATGTCATAAACATAGTTAAAAAAAAAATACGCTACTTAAACTGTGTACAGTACAAGTGGTAACATTTTATGTTGGTATCAGATACACTGTGAGCTGGCACAGTTGTAAACGTACATTCCCGAAGGTATGAGTTTGCACAGTGAGCTGGCACTAATGCATCTCATATATATGTTGATACACGTACGGTTTGGAATGTGCTATGGCACATACTTTATGTATTTGTATGTACGCACGTGTATTATGTTTCTATGTTCGGGCACTATGATAATGTACGATATATTCTGATACAAATATGATTTGTGTGCAAACACTTTCAGTTACTCACTTGTGCATATGCGTACATTAAGTAGTTATTATGTCTTCTTTTATTAAACGAATTCAATTGAGTATGAGCGCTTTCAACTATGGCTATGATATGAGCATGATGAGCATAGACATGTATGTTGGACTCAATCATTTTTGTAAGGCATTGTTTTTAAAAGCCATGTTTACACGAGCGCTTGGTACATCTTCATTGTGCCAGGGCAAGTGGATCTGTAATCAGGCGAAGATTCCTGACGGGAAGTTGGTTTGAGTTTACAACAAGCATGTGATTTGTATGATATCACTTGAGTATTGTATTTTATTCAAGGTAGGAACATGCCACCTAAGAGAAAAAGGAGTCGGGCGACAAAAGCTGCGGAGCCAACAGAGTCTCAACCAAAACGCAGCGCACCGTCGAAAGACCAGGAAATCGTGGATACAATCCAAAACGCAATACAAGCAGCCATTCCTGGTATTACGAAGGCGGTAATGGATGAGATATTCAAACAACAGACTAGTACTGACACCGCTATAATGCCAAGTCCTTCAGCGCCTGAGGGGGAAGCGGCCAATGAAGCGCTGTGGAGCCTACGGTTAATCTGGGTTTTTCTAACACTTTCCTTGAAGCCCCAGAAAGTATTTCAAAGCCTCTAGCCTTAGGCATTGATTCTAAAATTAAATCAAAAATATGGGCAAACGAGTTCGTCGATTTTGGCACTTTACTAAAGCCAACTGAAAAACAAGTAAAATTTTCCATCGAAGAGGGTGATGATGGCCTAACATTTGTAAAGGAAAAATCCACCCCTCTTAAGATTGAATCCATTCCTCAATGGATGAAAGCTTTTCATATATTCGTTAGTATATTTTGCGAGAGGCACACAAATGATGCCACAAAATTGATGAAATATGCGTCTTTTGTTCAAAAACTTGCTGACCAGTCTACTACATCAGCAGCCATTCAATATGACAAAACTTTTCGTCAATGGAGAGAAATATCTCCAACCAAGCTCCCATGGGACCAATTAAACGCCGAATTGTACCAAGAGGCATTGGCATCCGGTATTCAGTCAAAGTTAAAGGGAGTAACACAAAAACCTACTTTTCGTCCCTTCGTACCAAGGGGAGGGCAGGGAATAATAAACTCGTATGCTACATTCTACTGTGTGTAAGGAATTTCACACTTTAATAATTCCGAACAGGGAATTTGTCTTAGTGTAACTTGTGTGCCAAGTTATATTGAAATAGAAAAGATTGCAGATTCTCCCACACATGCCAACGCTGTGGTGGGGAACACAGTAGAAAAACTTGCCCATCAACCCCAAAACTCCCCAATGCAGCAAACAAAAATAAGCAAAAATCTAGCCCCCAAATCGGATCATCAGAAAGTAAACAGTCAACCCTTAAACTTACAAAATAATCCTTTTGATATAGTAACTCCCGTGAATCCTCAACGGTTACAACATTGGCTATCAGAATACAATGAGAGTGACAAAAAAGTTTTAGTTGATGGCTTTACAGAGGGTTTTAAAATTCCTTTTCAGGGTGTTCGTGAGCAGAGGTTTTGTAACAACTTAAAATCAGCTGATCAAAATTTATCTATCCTTCAAGAAAAAATAAATAATGAGGTACGTTGTGGTCGAGCAGCGGGACCTTTCAAAAATGCTCCATTCAACAATTTTCAGTGTTCACCATCAGGTTTAGTACCCAAAAAACAAGAAGGGGAATTTAGAGTAATACATCATTTATCTTATCCAGAGGGATAATCTATAAATGATGGGATTCCGCAGGATATTTGCTCGGTTCAATATCAAACCATCGATGACGCGACTGATTTATTAAAACAACTTGGAAGGGGGGTCTTGTTTGCAAAGACAGATATTGAAAATGCCTTTAAAATCATTCCAGTCCATCCATCAGATCGCGAATTGTTTGGTTTTAGAGTAGGAGGTGGGTTTTATTTCGACAAGACCTTACCAATGGGCCTAAGTTACTCCTGTAACTTATTTGAAAGATTTAGTTCTGCATTGCACTGGGTAATGGAATACCACTACCAATCTAACTGTGTTCATGTTTTGGACGACTTTCTTTTTATGAGGCCAGCTCATTCGAGCAATTGTTTGAAATCCTTAGAGAACTTCCTTCAATTATGTAATGACATAGGTATCCCAATTAAGAATGAGAAAACAGTGTATCCCACAACGACAATAACATTTTTAGGTCTAGAAGTCGATTCACTAGCTATGGAAGTTAGGTTGCCAAGGGATAAGCTTGATAAGCTAAGAGATGCAATAGATTCGTTTAAGCACAGAAAAAAAGTAAGTCTAAAAGAATTACAATCTTTGATTGGATTACTTAACTTTGCTTGCGCGGCTGTCCGACCAGGTCGCACTTTCCTACGACGGCTAATCGACCTCACAAAAGGCTTAAAACTATCCCATTTCAAACGGCGTTTGAACACAGAGGCTAGGGCTGATCTTGAAGCTTGGTCTGTTTTCATCAATAGTTTTAATGGTAGGTCATTGATATTAGATGATAGGTGGGAAACCTCTGAAACATTATGTATGTATACGGATGCAAGTGACCTAGGATTTGGGGGTACATTTAAAACAAAGTGGTTCTTCGGAGAATGGCCACAAGAGTGGTGCCAGTTTCACATTACAGTCACAGAATTGCTTCCTATTGTGATAACTTTAGAACTTAAGAGCTATAGGCATCTCATTTACGGAACTCCTGTATTAACTTCTATTCAGATAACATTGCAGAAGTATACATCATTAACAAACAAACTTCAGCAGTTCCATTAATTATGAAGTTAATGTGGCGTTTTATAGTAAATACATTAAAATACAATATTCTTTTCAAAGCAACACATATTCCAGGTGTACTTAATGTAGCTGCTGATCGCCTTTCTCGCTTGCAGGTCCGGGAATTTCAGGACCTATGTACAAATATGGACCCAGTGCCATCAGCAGTTCACCCAACAATGCTAACACTCTGAAAGATATAGCAACAGCCATTCTGAAGAATTCCCTCGCTCCTACATCAAGGGCAGCTTATGAAAAAAACATTTGCTTTTTACGCTGACTTTATGTCAACCTACTTTCCTAATGTCTCTTTACTGCCTCCTACTACTGAGCATTTGGCACATTTTATAGCTTTTTGTTTTCAAAGTAATATCGCAGCACCAACCTTGAAAACTTACATTTCGGCTCTTAGTTATAATTTTAAAGTTCAAGGTTTTGAAGATCCATCACAACAATTTGTGATTCGCAAAATGCTACAGGGATATCAAAAGTTCAAAACTGTAGGAAGTGACACAAGATTGCCCATAACAACGTCAATTCTGAAACAGCTTGTAACTTCGTTAGACAAGTTAGGCATTTCAGCCTATCAATGCAGTATGCTAAGGGCAATGTATTTGCTGGCTTTCCATGCTTTTTTAAGGGTTGATGAAATAACAGTTTCGTCTTCTACGAACGTTAAAAACGTATTAAATCTGGCCAATGTAAAACTCGTTTCGGATAAACTAAATTGCAGTGAATCCCTTGAGATTACAATGGATAATTTTAAACATAGTGCAGGCAAACATATACCCACGTTGATTCTACAAAAAACAAATCGGAAGAGCAATTTTGTCCTGTTCAGGCTATTCAGCTATTTCTTAAAGTTAGAGGCCAGTCACCAGGCCCTTTGTTTGCATATCCAAATGGTGATGGGTTACTAAGACAACATTTTACGAATTATTTGCAAATGTCTCTTAAATGGGCAGGGCTAAATACGAGTCACTATAAAGGCCACAGTTTTCGAATAGGAGCTGCGACATGCGCTGCAGCAATGGGAATTTCAGAGGAAAAAATCAAACGAATGGGAAGATGGCATTCCGACGCTTTTAAAAAGTACATAAGAATCCCTGTGCTTCATATTTAGATGAATTTGATCATGGGGTCATGGGTCTCTGATCAAATAGTATAAATTAGTATTTCACCCCTTTATTTTTTCGCGAACGCATAGGTGAGGGTCAGCAGGTTTTTGAACAGTAGTTTTCCTTTCGGTTAATCTGTATATATGTTGCCGTAGGCAATGACTTTCAGACTTTTGAAATTTAACACTGGGTCATGGGGACATGGGCCTCTGATTCCACAATTGCTAGTGAACTATGGATGAGAGTTTGTTGTCATTTGAAATTTGACACTGGGTCATGGGGACACGGGCCTCTGATTTCACAATTGCTAGTGAACTATGGGTGAGAGTTTGTTGTCATTTGAAATTTGACACTCTGATTCCACAATTGCTAGTGAACTATGGGTGAGAGTTTGTTGTCATTTGAAATTTGACACGGGCACGGGCCTCTGATTCCACAATTGCTAGTGATCTATGGTTGAGAATTTGTTGTCACTTGAAATTAGACACTGGGTCATGGGGACATGGGCCTCTGACTTCATAAAGGGTAATGTAGCTTTGCATGAAAGCATTTTGTTACTTATTGCTGCATGAATAATATGAACAGTTTCGTCACGAGGACAAGGGCCTCTGACAATTCTTAAAAGGGAAATGCTGACCATTACTTGTAAATCATGGAAGCACTTTTGTATAACACAAATGTAATTTGTATTCTTTATGTGAATGTTACCATATATCATATTCATTGAAGACAATAGTTTTGGGTGGGGTTTATTGTATTCATTGTTTCATCATGAACACAATAATGTGGCGATTTTTTATGCCCCACGTATGATAATTGGCTTAACAAAATGTATTTGTTAATTTTATGCACATGTTTTTTATGATTGTGTAATGTTTGTCAATTTGTTTAATTAGTATTTTTGCATGATTTGTCTCGTCATTTATTAGATCAAAATAAATGACAATTTTCAATTCAAACTCTCTTCATTTTGTTTTTACAATATCAAACGAAGCAAAACTATTGTCAGTGTATTTGCATAAAATCTTAATTTACAACATTAAATTAATTTATGTAAAACATCTGACATGGCAAGAAGAACAACTCTTATTTTTCTCTTCACCAGTTTACATTCCTGTAATCTGATAATCTCTTATCAGCAACTGACCAGATTCAGCTAATTTTGCGCACGCCTTCATTCTTCCAGCGTGCATTGCCTTGTCAACATACATTCGCCAGTCATCTTGATTTGTTTTTCCCACCGTCCCACCCAAAGGCTTTTTATTTTTATCTTCTTGCCATGTTTGATGAGAAATAAATTGAACGATTTAAATCATTTTGTTCTTGTGTATAGTAAAACTGTATGGGCGATTTTTTATGCCGCACCTATGATAATTGGCTTAACAAAATGTATTTGTTAATTTTATGCACATGTTTTTTATGATTGTGTAATGTTTGTCAATTTGTTTAATTAGTATTTTTGCATGATTTGTCTCGTCATTTATAGATCAAAATAAATGACAATATTCAATTCAAACTCTCTTCATTTTGTTTTTACAATATCAAACGAAGCAAAACTATTGTCAGTGTATTTGCATAAATACTTAGATTATCGACATGCTACACAGGAGAAGAAGAAAAGATTTTTAAAGAATAATGTTAACATATATATACAATGTAAGATGCAGTTTCATTCAATAATCCACAAAGCCCCCCCCCCCCCAACACCCAAACCCGTGACTAAGGGACAATGAAATTCACTTTTTTTAAAGAGGCACCCTTCCTCATCATAACTAGGAAAAAAGTTTTAAAGTTACCAGGAGCAGAGAAAAAACTCAGAGTTCAAGCTGTCTCACTATTTAAACATTAAGACCCCGCCTTATTATCAGAAAATGATTTAAATTGGTTTAGTGGTTTTGGAGAAGAAACTGAAACAAGGTTCGGGTCAATTACTTTAAAATGTAATTAAATACTTTTAAATACATTAATATTTTGTCAATTACTTACAATTACAGTTAAATTGAATTTTTCAATTACTTTTCAGTACTATTCAGAAATTGTAATTAACATGTCTATTACTTTTTTTACAGTTTTATTTCAAAAAAAATCTTGAAAAACATACACACGAATTATACAGACATTAAGTACTGGAATTAGTGTTTCTACAGTTTTGAGTTCATTTTAATCATCATTAGTTTTTCAAACACAGTCAACGAATACCTTTCAGGTCTGAAGATATTTAGATTTTTAAATTCAACTTATACCCTTAAATTCATTTTTGGTTCTAAACAATACCGGTATGTTTTTTTAGTGAACTTTAATTCAGTATTTTTGTTCCTTGGTATGAGAGGGGTGGTTCACATCTTATCAAAATTAGACCCTAGTGCTTTACCTATCACCCCGGGTAAGCATGACACGCTGTTTAAACAAATGGGTACCAAACAAATTAAATATTACAAAACAATTATTGCATAAACACAAGCTCATGCAAGCCAACATGCATAGCCTAAATATGTTTGCAAACTATGCACCATAAAAAGAAACCTTATTTACCTTTCAATTTGAAAAGAGTAAATGAAATGTAATTGATAAGTCATTGAAATACATGTTTTTTTAAAATGTATTTAAATATACTGAAAGGGAAAAACGCATAAGAACATAACATGGGAAAAATTTTTGATTATGTGGCCTAAAAATATGAAAATTGGTAAGATGTGTATTTTTGGTTACTTTGCACTAAAATCGCTAGTTAAAACTACTCAACTATGAAATATATGGCGTCACGTAGGGAAAATGAAAAAAAAAAGTAAAAAACACGTGCATGTTGATGATAATTATTTTGTGATAAAATTTTGTAGTGCCATACGATGCATTAGAGTTATAGAATTCGTTTTTGCATATTTGCAGTCAGCACAAATTTCTTGCAATCGTGGTATGGCTGACGGAAGCTACTGTGGGCTTAGGAATTGAATTCAATATTGCATAAGTGAATAAAAGGTAAAACATGCTGCTGTACACATTGTTTTCAACTTTTTAACCAAATAAAAGTTTTTTGTTTGTCAGAGAGTTAACCTAAAATGTTTCCAACCAACCATGACGGCGACGTTGGCGCGTAACAACGTCACAACAAGAGACGGCTTTTCATCATGCCACCTCGGTTATTGTCAAGGTATTATCACTGAAACTGATATTTATACAGCTGACAATCATACGCATGTTTTTATCCTAGACTGACACAAACTCTCTTCTCTAATTTGGGCCGCGAGCTTGGCCACTTTACGTCGATTTTATCTCAAACGCGCACGTACGCGTCGTTTGCGTGATTTTTTAAGCATGTTTACACTAGAAAAATTTAGCTAGTGTCTGCCGAGACCTTTTTACAAACATCCAAACCTGCTGGGTTCTGCACATTCTATCCTAAATCGAAAATTCGTATTTGATTGGGGCGGGGGGATTTGTTAGCTTTGGAATAATACAGCTAATCTCAGCTATTAAGACTACCGTCGGAAGGGTTGAATAATAATGTTCTGAAAAAGATAACTGCTCTGGTGATCTCAATGCACAGGAAAATCAAGTTTGTTACTGATGCGAAAGGGAGATTATGAGAATTTTTAGTTTTATGTTTCGGGGGTGTCGACATATTGATATCAATATCTCAGGAATTATCACTCAAAATCACATAAAATTTTGGTAATTTGTTGATTAAAGATGGATTAAAATGTATGATAACAATGGTGGAAAACATATTTGAAATAATTGTTTAATTTAACTCAAAAGTTTAATATACTTTTCTTAATCCTTTCAGTATACATTTAAGTACTTGCAATTGAAAGCGAGCTCAATAACTACTTTCAATTTCTTTGAAAATTTAATTAATTACACTCAATTCCAATTACTTATTTTCAGTTTCCCCATTCCTAGAAAAATAAAATGTTAAAATGTTAACATAGGACGCACAAAAAAAAAAAAAAACAAATAGCAGTAGGTACCTTTAAAGTAAGGTGACCTAAAATCAACGAGTCATAAAAAAATATTCAATGCTGACATCACTGCAAATATTTTTTTTTAAAATAGCAAAACTTTATAGATCTGTTTCTGATTCATATCAATACTTACTGGTTATCAGATTTATCTGGATTTTGATGCATGGTAGATGTGGTTGTTTTATTCTTTTGAACCAAGTCATAACAGGAGGTGTCTTCTCAAATGAAAATGGGAGAAAAAAATATCAGAAATGCGCTATCCTCTTTACATTCACAATCCTAAGAGATCAATAGGCTTCACAAAGTCTTCTGTGTATAATACAAAGTATAATGTTTAGGGGTTCAAATAAATTTATTAAATATAAGCTGATTGACGGAGATACAATCTCAAATAGCAAGAAATATATGATCACCAAAAGAAAAATAGTGTGTAAGTCCAGTCCTCCATAGGGAAATCATGGAGTAGACGTATTTATTTTTCTTCCAGTGCAGTTCTAATTAAACTTTTCAAAAATTTATCAGAATAGTATTGCTTGAAAAGATAAGACTGAAAGAAAAATGCAAGTTTGTCTTGCACATTGTTCTTTTTCTTATTATGACAGTTAATATTTTTTAAAAAACATTTTTTGTAATCGAGTCTCTGCTAAGGTTGGCCACAGCATCATTACTTCTCCAACAAAAAATGCCATAGTTAACATCAGTTTACGTAATTTTTTGAAGTATTTGAGCCGTATTATTTCAGAAGTTCCACAGCTATAATGTTTTTTTTAGATTACATGTAATTACTAGTATACTAGTATAATGTCTTTAAAATTGATTGTTAATCATTAAAAAATTAGGAATTATTTCTTTTAAATAAAATATTACTATCTGAAATCCATTGTACAATCATGTAAAAATACTTTGATGTATTATTGAAAACTCAAATTTACTTTAAAATTACATTACTATATAATTAATTTAAGCTTATACGTTTGTGTTAGAAAACTTAAGCATTCATTCATCGAGATGAAAGAATTCAATTTTAAAATGACATTGGAGGACGTATAGAAAGCGAGAAGCAATAAAATTCAGGAAACAACTCAACAATCTTTGAAAATACTGGATAAACCAGTAATGAATGAATAATAAGCGGTGCTTGAGGGGTAGAGACTTTGAATAGGCTGCTAGATTGTCTGAAAAGAAATAGATTATTGTTGAAATATTATCAAAAGAGCTAAAAATTGTCAAACGTGATATGTGCTTCAATGCTGTGGAACTTGTGGAAGCAACTGCAGAGTTATGCGGTAAAGAATTTGAAACATCGACAATTTCATTTAAAGTACTTGAACAATTGTAAGCACACAAGGTGTCAAGAGACGATACAGACTTTGTATGAAATTATAA